CTGGCGCCTACAGAGTAGGACTGCTGACCTTCCAACTTCTTTTTCTTATTTTATTCTGACTGTCAGAACTAATTTCTGATGGCTTTCTATTTGTCAGGCTTTGCGACGATGTCAGCCTTCGAGCAGGCCGAGCTACACTGGGTACTCGGGAAACACGATCGATTCCGGTCGTTGGACTTCCTGCTCTCTTCGACGAGCATCAAGGCGAGCTCGCTCGTCCTCCCATCCCGCATGATGTCGGACATCCAATGTAACGACTTTGACTCTTCTGCTTATGTTCCTAAGTTGGTCCACCGAGTCTCGCTTACCGGTTCTGCCTTGGCATGTTTTCGAGGCCAGATTGCTGAGATATGGGACCTCTACATCCCGGATGGCCGCTTGCCCAACGTGAGGATTCTGCGGGTCGCATGGAGAACACCGGTCCAAACTCCACGCCGGAGGCCTCGAGTCGGGTCACCCGAAGGGGAAGCTTCGTCTCGGTCTTCGCTCCAGAGGTGCCTAACCGGGTCTCCGGTGGTGAGGGCGAGATGGTCTACCGAATCTTCCACCATCCGCCCTGCGCTCACTTCTTCAGAGTCTGGCCCTTCTGCCAGAAGCGATACCCTGAGGGATAACGATGCCCCCAAGTACCTAAGGACCGTCGAGAGGTCCAGGATCGTGCGAGCTGCCGCTCTGGTCCCTGCTGTACCAGGCTTGCCAAAGGCGATGAGCATCTCTTCGGAGTCAGAGCCGTTATTTTTTCCTCCTCGTCCTACCGCTACCTTGACCCGCGAGCTCACCGGGTGGTGGCTAACTGCCTCGGAGCTCAGGCAATCTCTGGACGCGGTAGGTCTTCTTTCTTCGGGACTTCTTCCCTTTCTGCTTTTTGGCTCTTCATTTCTTACGTGTCGTCTTGTTGCTTGACAGAGCCAGCGTCTGCTTGAGATGCTAGAGCACGAGCTCCACGCAGCCGAACATCGTGAATGTGGCGTTGCTGATAGGGTTCAGCAAGCTTCAGGCCAAACTCTTGGTGACCCGGGAGCAACTTCCTGAAGTCCAGACTTCCTCTCGGGGTGAAGACCTCAGCGCGGAGATAGAACGCCTATCCTTGGCGTTGACCGATAGCCAGCGAGATCTGGAAGCTCGCAACTCGGAAATACAAACGCTTCGTCAAACACTTATGGTGTACCGGGGGTTTGCTCTTTGAGCCGAGGTGACCTGGCGCTGATGGCGGCCGAGGCCTTCACGACGAGCAAGACCACGGTCTGCATGCTCAGGCAGAAGCTCGAAGAAGAATGACGACGGGGCGAGCCACGGGGGCCGGATACTTCAGGGTTGACTGGAGGCGTTGGAGGCGTTGGAGGTGCTGGAGGCGCGGGCCCTTCTTCATTGGCGGGATTTTCATGCCCTCCAGATTTTTTTATAGAAAAGACTTTGTTTCTGGGACTTGTGCCCCTTGTAAATTTTACTTTTGAACCTAAATCGGCAGCCGTTTTTTTGCCCAATTGTTGTTTTTTAATGCATATGCGTTTGCTTCGCACGTTTTCATCTTTCATGCGCCGTGTTTGTATATCACTTCGTTTTTATCTTTGCAGGTGGACTTCTCGGCTTCGAAGCAAGTATGCGTGATGGTCTCGGAGCTTTGTGTTTTGCCGAGTAGATCTATGGCTCGTAAGATTAACCCGTGTAGATCGCTTCCTTCATGGAACGTTGACCGGTTTTCCCCCCTCCTTCTAGCGCCAATTGTGCGGGAGTAAATTTCGGGATGCGACGTGGGGGTGTGTGATTCGTCTAGAGGGTGGAGCCGTCTCTCCGGGATTCGTCCTCTGAGGGGAAAGGCGACGAGTCATCATGGGGCAGAAGCCTGCGTGTGTCCAGATGATTGGTCGACATGAGCTTCCACCGTTTCCAGACATTCCGATGGAGCAGGCCACTTTTCAGCGTTTCATGGTGCAGAGTGTTCAGGCGCTGTGGAATGCCATCTCAGTGCTGTCTAACTGCGGTTGTGTTCGCCCCCACTTGCCTGATACTAAGGATGAGGATTAGTTCTCCTATCTATCCTTGTTACTTTTTCTTTTCCCTTTGTTCTTTTTCATTTTCTCTTGAGTCAGTTTTTATGTCTTTGTCTTGAGTCACTTTGTCAGCTTTGATTATGTTTTGAAACTTGTTTGAACTGATGAGATTATGGATTATGTTGTTGCTTTTAATTGTTTGCTTGAGTGTTCCTAACAGTCTTGACTTGGGAGAACTTCAGCTAACAATCTAACTTGCAACAAATACACATGTTTGGGTCATCCCATTCTGTTTTCGGACATGGTGTCGATCGACACCAACCATGTGGTGTCGATCGACACCACGCACGGGCACATGTACCATTTTCTCATCTCTGTACAAACCGTTTCATAGCTTGTTTTTACCAACTCCATGTTTGATTACACTGGGGACAGTGTTGTTTAAGTCTGGGGAAAGTCATTGCTGACATTGTGTACATTGTTTTTGATTTATAGAGTCTCAAAGTTGAGTCAAAACCTGTTTTATTGTGTCAAAATTTTTGAAATTGTCAGTTTTTCTTGGAACCAGCCATAAAACATTGATGCTTATAAGAACCATTGCCACAGTTGTTGATTACAAGTCTTACTAAGTTGAAAGTCATAGGTAGATCAGTCTACCAATGAAGGTTTAGGGTTTTAGAGAATCTGAAAAATTTGTTGTTAGCTCTACTTTAATGAACTTAAAACTTCTTGTCTTGGTGCTTGATTATCTTTGATCTTGATTCTCTCTTCTAACTCTGACAAGTATGTTAAGACACAGTTTCTCTTTGATCTTCCCTGATCGAGCTTTAAAAGTTTGAGTCAAAAGAAAGGTGTATTCATGACCTTGTCTCCTCACAAGGAACAACAGTAATGAACACATTCAAGAACCTGTCTCCTCACAAGGAGCACAAGTATTGAGTATCACCATATCTTAGACTGTAAAAGAATGAGAAAGAGCTTAAAATAAAAAAATATATCAAAAAGAAAAGATCAAGGGAAGAGAAAAGAAGAGAGCTGTGTTGAGATTGCTTTGTCCAGTTGTTTAGGAAGGGAAAAGAATCTATAAGTGATTGAGATGATAAAACCTTGGTGAGACATCACTTAGATAGAAATAAGGAGTTAAGCAATAGAGATTTCGGATTTCTGGAAGGAGCTTGAATTGGATTTGAAAGATTTGCTAAGCCTGTGATGATTAGACTGAAATTTGATCTTGTATTGACTCTGTGGCATGTGGATTCGAAAGTGTTAATCAATGTGGTGTTCCTGATGTCAGGCTGACTTTTTCTGTGTGTTTCAAACCTCGACTCTAGGCTTTGTCTGATGTTTGCTTGAGGGCAAGCAAAAGATAAGTCTGGGGGAGTTGATATATCATGGTTTTTGCTGGTTTTTGACCATGATATAAGTCTTGTTTATAGAGTCTTCTGGTATTTTTCGAGTCCTATAGAGTCTTTGCAGGTCTAGGTATGTTTGGAGCATAACTGTGAGTTTTGAAGCCTTTTGGTGCTATGTTGAAGTTGATGCTGAAAAGACCAAGTCGGAGAGCACTACGAAGCAGGGTGTCGATCGACACCCACCACTTGGTGTCGATCGACACCGGTCGTGGTCGCGAAGAATGTGTAAAACTCAATGGAAGAATTTGCAACTTGGCTCAAATGTTTCTCACTATTTGCACTTTTGCCCCAGTTCATGTTTAGACTTGTATTTAGGTTTTCAGAGTCATTGTTAGGCCATTATCGTGTTTTCATTGAGACTAAGAGAGAGATTAGATTGAGAGCTTTTGGGGAGACAAATCCATACTCTGTAGAGAAGAATTTTGAACTCCTTCATCTTTTACTATATTTCTTAATGCAATTTTATTCAGCCATGATTTGTGTTTCACTTGCTATGTCTGAGTAATCTGCTAGTTAGGTTTTGGGTTATTCAAAGGTTGATAATGAATTATTAGAACTACAAAACCGAAGGAATAAATCCATTGGTTCTTCATCTAGATTGCTTTAACACTGATTTTAAGATTGATCACCTAGAAATCAGATCTTAGGTTGTTTAATAGATGTAGAAACATTGTTAATCACCAGAACTATCTTAGATGAGCAAAATAACTAATTGCAAAAGAATTTGGATTAGTGATTTTGTGAACATATCGAACCTGAACTATAATGCTTGTTTAGGTTGTTAGAATTTGCAAAGGAATTTAGAATTCTAGAATCTGATCATAGTTAATCTCTACGACGGAAGTCGATTGGTTTTACATTAGTGTTTTCAAGTTCTAGAACGGTTTTAATAAATATTTCTTTCAGTTTGTAGTCTGCGATTTATGTCAACTTGCGAATTTGCCATTGTCTAGCGCCTTGTCTCTATTGATTTTAAGAACCTACAATCCGTCCGTGATTTCATTGCTTTCGTTGCTATTTTAGTTTTATTTATTATTGACTGCTTAGATTTATTTGAATTTAAAATTTGTTGAGTAATAGTCTTAAGTCTTTGTGGATTCGATCCTTAAGTACTATAATGATCTCTTAATTTGAGAGAGTAGCTCTAAGAGTTAATTTGAGCATATCAATATATATATATATATTTTATGAATATTCTTATTTTTTCTTAGTTTTGTTTTTATTTTCTTAGTTAGTATATATATATTTTTCTTTTTAATTTATTAAATTTTTTTTGAACATTGTAATAGTTATATTTTTTATTTTTTATAAAACATTAATAATATTTTTTAAATTTTATTTATTATTTAACTGATATACATATTAAAATTTTAATTGAAAAATTTGACATATATCAGACCGACAATCTAATTCTAAATATATATAACTAAAAATAATATATATTTTTTAAATAGGATATTTTCCCAACTAAAAATATATCCAAGTTCTAAATTGTCGATTGAGTTGTCATAATTTTGTCAATATGTCATCACTACTTCTAATCAATTTAAGCATCGATATCTAGGTCAAATCTCTTAATTGATTTCTACAATCGAAGCGTTTTTAACTAAAAATATTCTGTCATAACTAAAGAAGAAAAAACTCCAAATAAATAAGGGCGCCAACACCATAAACCCTCGCTAACAAAAACCTCGCCATAGTGTCCTCTTTGACGATTTTCTTTCATTCTTTTGATCAAATTCAATGGCTTTCTGGGGTGGGTGTTAACGTTTGTCATCTTCTAAACCCTATATAATCACCGATTTGATTATAAGAAAAAGCTTAATTTTTATTAGACGAAGTTTGGTGTTGATGACAGATCTCGTGTGTTTACAGGAGTTGAATTGAAGCCAGGAAAGCCTTTTACTCTTAAATCTACTGAAATTAAAAGACTTCACCTTTCCCAGGTCTGTTATCTCAATTTCTACCCTACATATTTCAGATTTTGTAATTGGGTCGCTTTATTTTCTCTGTTTGGTTAAGTTTCTTATGTCTGCTCTTGATTTGGACGTGCTTAGATAAGCTTGGAAGTTGTGGGTTTTTTTGTTTGCTTGACTGATTTTGTAATTGCGACGCTTTATTTGCTCTGTTTTGCTCATTTCATATGTCTGCTCTTGATTTGGGCGTGTTTAAATAAGATTATAAGTTTACATATACTTACAAGAATTTTTTTTTTTCGTTATTTGGGGTCATTTGTCTGAGCTTTGATACATTTGTGGTTATAGGCGACATTGGGGCTTGGTAATGCAACAACTAGAAGCATTCTTCAGTGTAATGTTGGGAACAAAAGTCCACTTTTCTTGTGTGTCCTGTCTCCTGAAAAGGTTGATTCTTGCCAACTCAATATTGAGTTTGAAGAAGCTGATGATGTTGTCTTCTCTGTCATCGGACCTCGGAGTATTCACCTCACTGGCTACTTCCTCGGAAAGGGTTCCGGTTTAGGCCAAAATGATGACGAATCGTATCCTCTCTTATCGGTAGTTTAGATGAAAAGTGCATTTGGATTATTGTTATTTGTATGTATCCTTGACTTGATTTAAAAGTGAGTCTTACGGCGAGGATATAGTAGATACAGACTTGGAGAAAGGTAGCAGTGATGATTATGATTATAGCGATAGTTTCATCAATGACAATGATCCATCTGCCCTCGGTTCTCACGTCTCTAGTACTGACGAAGATGAAAGTATGCCATTTCGTATCTTGCTTCGTACTTGAAATTTAGTATTTATATGTTATGTTTACTTTGTGGGTTTAAATTATATCTTCAGAGTTACTTTGTAGTCTGTCTTTATTACTTTGGTTGACAAGGTACTTCGCACGTACACATACATAACATTTTCGGTTTCTATATGGGTGTTAGTTTTTCACTAAGCATCTAGTTGCAGTTTTCATTTAGTTTTATTCTCTGTAGGGTCTTTTGGTGGAGAAAGCATTCTTGTGGATTTCACAGTGTCTCTTTCTGGTACTGTACCTCCATTTGAAAATAATCTTGTTTCCTTTCCAGTATCTATTAAGGAAATGGCAGCGAAAACAAAGGACAAGGAAACATATCGAAAAGGTGGAAGACTAAGGAAGAAATTTCAGGTCTCTGATTCAGATTCTGATGAAACTTCAGCTAGAGCTGATGACTCTACCAATGAGGATTCGATAGAAGTTGAAAACAAGATTCATGCAGAGAATCCTTTGCCTTCAAGGCTTACAAGATCAAAGGCAAGAAGTTCGATTTTTGAAAATGGCGAGCCTAATTCCAAGTGTGAGAAGACGTCGGAAGCAAAAACTCAAACCGACAACACTCTGGATAAAAGGTAAGAAAGTTTCACCTCATAGTATTGGTATCTTTGTAGCTTTTTTAAACCCTTAATAGACTTAATATGTTTCATATGCCAGTGAGGATAAGCTTTTGGTTGTTGCTGAACCTTCACCCGTTAAGAATGAATGTGAAACTCTTCCGAAGAAAAAACAAAACAAGGAAAAGTCTAAGACTTCAGTTGTGATTAATCTAGATGAGGGGGATGAAAGGCATATGCCTGAAAGTCTTCAGAATGAGAAGCAAGCTTCTGAAAAGTAAGTGGTACCATCCATTAGAAAGTTATTATATACTCATTGGTATTACGGTTTTATGCTGGCGAGTCAAAACTCTCTGTTCTAAAATTTCAGTTAATATGTCAGGGGGATCGAATCATCAATCGATGCGTTGCCCTCTCAGAATGGTGATGACACCACAAAGAAAAAGAGGAAAAGAGATAGAAGAGAAGAAGCTACAAAGAGCAAGAAACAAGCGATCGACCATGAGAAGTGAGTTCTATACCTTTCTTTTTAGGTAGCTGTTATTCTCAACATTGAGTTCCTGAAACAAGCTTTTGCTTACGTTGTCGCTTTTGGGTTTTGAGACTTTGAGTGAATATTCTCTTCACTATTGCTGGTGCTTTGTCCAATAAATTTTATTTTCATAATGAATAGGAACGTTGAGAAAGAAGCTGTTTCAAATGAAGTAATCATTGAGGAAATTGAGCAAGGAAAGCCAGACGGGAAAACAGCCGTGAATGGGAAAAAAGTGAGCATCATTTTACATCTTATTTATATTCAATCTTGATACTATCTCAATTCGGAGCACCACGAGAATTTTTTAAAACGATTGATGGTTGTTTCAGGTGAGCATACTATATACTTCCAAGTTAAAAGACACTGGAGAAATGGTTAACTCAAACATCGGAGAAACTCCATTCAGATTTCGCTTAGGTAAATATTTTCATAGATGTCTTACCGTCGTTGTTCTTCCTCCTATCCTTAAAGGCTTAAGCACTTTCAGCTTTTGTTTAATGATATTGCTCTGATTGCAGGCGGAGAGAAAGTCATAAAAGGTCTCAGCGTTGGTGTAGAAGGTATGTCAAGTGGCGTAACCAGTAGATGATTTCGACCGGAAAGGTCATAAATTTTTGATATTTTTCTAAGAATACGGCTCTGCTTTATCTAACTCTCAGGGATGCGAGTTGGTGATAAGAGAAGACTCATCATTCCGCCATCCCTCGGGTATGTCGTAATGATTTCATTTGAGCATGTGTATTTGATATAGCTCAGGACATTACTTTAGTTTATACAACCTGCATTGTTTCTCTTGCTGTGGATGTGAATAACATAGGTACTCGGAGGAGGGATTGAATGGTGATGTCCCTAAGAATGCGTGGCTAGTTTATGAAGTGGAGGTTGTGAAAGTCAGATGATATGCCATTAGCTTTTGATAGGGTTTTTGCTCCGAGTCTTCTACATGCCTCCTGTTTTAGGACTTTCTTAGCAGTTACAATTTTAAAAACTCCTGATTTATTCCTTTTAATTCCTATCAGTGTTTTGTTTTGAGTTCATGCTGGTTATAGATGAATCAATGCTTCTGAGTTCTTTGAAACATACGACTCTTAGTTCATTTTGAGTCTTAGGCCATCAAACATACGGCTAAGCACATATGTTCCAGTTGAATGTAAGGTTTGTGATGTCGACCGAGTTCGTATCTGATTTAAATGATAGATGGTTAACTTAGAAGAGGACTTATATGTTAGGGTTTGATATCGCAAACTCTTTACTGAAATCAAATGTAACACAAGAATAACAGAAAATGATCAAGATCACATACAATAAGAGAATTGCCTATACCCAATATCTATTCCACTGTATATTTTCTTCATAAAATCCTAACAAACTCTCTTTTTCTATTTATACTTTCATTGAGGTATCTTATTCACTTACGAGCTCCAGTTCAGCTTCCACGTTATCTTTGACTAATTGACTCGGCTTTTTGTCTCTCACCTTCTTCTTTCTTCTTCTATATTAAGCTTGATGAACCTTATCAATACTTTCCCCATTCAGAACAAGCTTGCCTTCAAGCTTGATGGGAAGAAACTGACTTAATTTCCAAGAAGTGTGCTGCAGTTCCCTCTGTTTCAGGCTCCGCAACCGAAGACCTGAATTCGCCTGCAAGTTTGAAGCTTTATTCTTCCAACGATGCCATACTTGAGAAGCAGTGTTTGTAGAATTATTTGGAACGTAATGCTATGCTTCCTAAATTCGATAAATCGCTGTGAAAGTCATCAAGTTCCTATGTTGAATGGTCATTCGGAGAGCACTTATCACACACTCACAACCAAGCGGAACCTGCAGCTTTGCCTCTACCCTAGCTCTCACGTTGTGCCTCTGTTGAGAGTGCGCAACAGCAACGATAAACTGTCTCATGAGTTCTGCTGCATCCTCATTTTGCATTTACTATCCCATCGTTCCATGAGTAGATGAGAAAACACAAGAAACATCTCTTTTCTGGCACAAACCATCACTTCCCGCCGATACTAAGACATAACGATGTTCTGAAACAACAACCAGAGACACGAAGATAGTGTAATCCTGGTTTTGAACTTAAACCACCACTTTTTTTGGCAAAGTTTCTTTTTGCTTCACAGATAGTACACCAGTCACAAGACAAAGAAAATTAAGGCGCTTGTTACTAAGCAATTGCTGCCATTGAGACAATTCCCACTGCAGAGATGTCAACCCAGCAACGACAACAGAGACTGAATAACCAGACATAGTTAGTGTGGAATCAGTGTGAAGGCGAGCCTTATGAGTCTGCTGCTCCATCAACGAATTAAATTCCATACCTTCTCTGTGATTTTTCAGAATCTTTGTAAGTTCAAACTCATAAAGAAACTTGAGAATGACCATAACCCACATTTGCAATTCTGAAACAGTCGTATCTCCTTCTTTGTCCGTGAAAGATCTAAGAAGTAGTGGGTGGTAATGAAATGATTTGAGATCTACTGCTGTCGCAAATGTAATGGATGGTAGCTTAGAGTCTCCTGAATTCCACAAATTGGTGTTCCTTTCATCCTTATTGATTAGGCGCAACTGTCTCCAATACTTAAATTTGTACCCTCTCCACTTCATTATGAAAACTATGTCGCTTCGCAGCTTGTAACTACACAACCGCTCAGCACTTGTAGTCCTATAAGCCAATTTCATTAACTCCTCACAAAAGACGTTCGCTTGTATCCATCCCCTTTTGTGCGCCTTATTTTTAAACTTGAATCTCCAGGCTTTGGGAGACTTACTCTTTTTCTTCTTATTTGGTACTCTGAGAACTATTTGGTCAAGCAATTGGCGTGTAATGTGTTTAATAGTGACATATGTTGATTGCAGAAGTAACTTGTGGTAACCCAACCCGGTAAACCGTACCGCGGCCGTGTCCCACTACATCCTCTAAGTCCGTTTCTATACTTAGCCATATTTTTAAACTTTTTCTTTATTCTTATTCTTTCTTATCAACACTCAGCGAAATATAAAACAACTCATCTTATTCATTTAACTTTCATAAAACACTTAAACAGGATTCGGGGTTATCAAATACCAAAGCACAAGGTTCGTTAACGATTACAACTGATCATCTAGCAACCTAACGATCAAACACCAAAGCCATAAGACAAATCACAACGTCTTAAACATAAATAAAACCCAGTCCCGATCCATCCATATCCATCACTGCCGCCTGGTCTCGCCCCTTTACTGCTTAGTACCTACACACTCAAGAAGAGAGGCATAAGTATTTCATAAATACTTAGTGAGTACGGTCATCCCGTAACACCTGGTCAGTACCAAACACGCAATCATACTTTCGGATTCAACATTTAACACAATCAATTCGCAATAGACATAACAATATCAAACGGCCATGATCATCTAACTTAACCAACCAAGTTCAATCCCTTTTTAAGACCCATGTATACTTCAGCGAGAATCCCACATCCCCTAAGCTAGTACATGATCTGGATTACCCTGAGGTTAGCTAGACATCATCTATGCCACGGTAAACACCTTAATATATCATAACATGAGAATTGCTTATCAGTTCTAAACACATAACATGAAAATCACACAATAAACATGCAAACATTCAACCCTAGCAATCATACGGTTCTAGACACCAACCACAATCACGCACTCACCTTAAACAAGGCTGAAAACAGATTGGTCAGAAAAAATCCCGATGAAATCCGCACCAAAACGAAGATATCCGATCTCCTTAAGAATCTCTCGGCTTTCCGTACGATCTGATCCTTTTCCCCTCGGCTATCTCTCGATCCGTTCACCTTTCTTCGAACCAAACTCTGTTTACCCTCGAAAACTCCACAAAACAAGGCTATTAGCTCGAGGTTATCCGATGAAAACTCAACACTTAGGGAAATATCCGATCGCTTACCAGTTTATCTCGGCGATGGTCGGATCTGCTCGGCGATAACCTGATCTCTCTCGGATGTCCTCGGGATACACTGTTTTTCTTAGGGTTTTCTCTCGACTATTCTCTTTCTTTGCTTTATTGCTCTCGAATAAACACAACTCTCCCGAGAAAAGTCTCAAAATCTCTTATAAACTCGCAAAACCCTAGATAACCCAGATTTATCCGACGTTTTCCTGGTTCCAGTAGGTTTTATCCCGGTCCGATTTGATTATCTCGGCTATTTCCTGTACCGGCTTGACCATTCCCTCGATAAACCACAAAATAGCTGACCAAACACTTGGCCCACGGCCCAAATCCCTTTCCACTCGGATAAACCGCCCTTATCCGAGGTGTTTTCCATTTTTCACACGGATATTCCTATTTCTCTCGGACAACTTGTCCCACCTCGACTAATCCTCTATTTCTCTCGGAGGTTTCCCTTTCTCCCTCGGAGACAGTCCACTGACACTCGGACTAACCTCCCAGACTCTCGGATAAATCCCACTGCACCGGGATAAATCCCATTTCCCCCGGACTGGACCCTGCTTCCCTCGAATATGGTCTGTCTGGCTCGGCTATCCAGCCAACCATCCGACTATTTCCCCGGTCATCACCAGACCATAGTCCGAACCTCCATTTCCCAGCCAATATCCGACCCTTGGCTCGATCATTCCTCGGACAACGCCATGTCCAGCTCGATCATTCTGAATTCTCTCGGATACAGATGCTACAACTCTCCCCCACCCGTTCTGGATTCGTCCTCGAATCCGTTTCATCCGTTTGCAACTTGTCAAACCATTTGGGATACTCAGATTTTATCCTGACTTTATTTTCCCAAGTAACCTGTTCCTGCCCGTCGCAGTCCCATACGACCTGAACCTTTCTGACCAGCTTCCCACACTTAGTCTTTTCTTTCCGACCTATCACCCGAACCGGCCTAGCCACTACTGCAAGGTCCTCTTGCAAGTCTGCTGGTGGTTCCTCTATAACCGTTTCCCGTTCCGTAATGTGCTTCCTTAGCTGTGACACATGGAATACATTATGGAACGCTCCCATTTCTGATGGCAAGTCCAACTTGTAAGCCATTGCGCCAACTCTTTCCAGTATCCGGTACGGCCCCATGTACCTCGGATTCAACTTGGCACTCTTAGCTGCCCTGTCCGTTCCCTTATAAGTCAGTGCCTTAAGATAAACCATATCACCCACACTGAACTCCAAATCCCTGCGACGCTTGTCTGCATAAATTTTCTGTCTGTCCATAGCCTCTTTCAGCTTAACTTTTAACAATCTGATCTTTTATGTAATAGCCTCGACCACTGCTAGCCCCATTACGCTACGCTCCCCCACTTGTGTCCAACACAATGGTGTCCTGCACGGCCTGCCATACAACGCCTCATACGGAGACATCTCAATGCTCCTTTGGTAACTATTGTTGTACGTAAATTCAGCCAACGGTAAGTAGTCTTCCCAACTACCGCCCCAGTCCAGTACACACGCTCTCAACATATCCTCCAATATCCTGATCGTCTGTTCTGATTGCCCATCAGTCTGAGGATGATACGCTGTACTCATATGCAACCGCGTTCCACACGCTTCCTGGAATTCTTTCCAGAAACTTGAAGTAAACTTCGGATCACGATCTGAGATGATACTCATTGGCACTCCATGCAACCTCACGATCTGATCAATGTACATTTCCACCAACTTTGGTACCCCATCCGTCTTTTTTATTGCTAAGAAGTGAGCAGACTTAGTCAAACGATCCACAATGACCCATATCCCGTCGTGCAACTTCTTAGTCTTGGGTAATCCCATTACAAAGTCCATGATGATCATGTCCCATTTCCATTCCGGCATTGGCAACGTTTACAACAAACCACTCGGAAACTGATGCTGTGCCTTAACCAATTGGCACGTCTCACATCCGGCTACCCACTTAGCCACATCACGTTTCATCCCAACCCAATGATAGTACTGTTTCAAATCTCGATACATCTTGGTCATTCCCGGATGAACAGAAAACCTTGACTGATGTGCCTCCATCAAGATCTCATCCCTTAACTCCTTCACATCTGGAACACGTACCCGTCCGTTCACAACAATGCTCCCATTGTTTGAAGTTTGATATTCCGTCTTATCATCCTGTGACACCTTGTTCAGATTCTCATCCTGCTCCTGAGCAATCTGAATCCTAGTCAACAAGTCAGCTCTATCCGCAGCTTCCAGACCCAACGGTTCAACCCCTTCTGATATTGCATTCAGCTGCAATGTCGTTAGCATGTTCACAATTC